CTTAGGAAAATAAGAATTGGCAGTGGGATATTTCATTGCAGAGAATACGAGTGTGGTATCATAAAATATTTCAAGCTTCTCATTGATATTTTCTGCAAACTCTCATTCTTCATCACTTGGTAAACATCTAAAATTAGAATCTTGATGCTTTTAACGCGTAAATACCCCTTTATAAATGAAAGTTGTTTGAAGAATCAAATACGTTGAATTCCAACATGTCTTACAATCAATACCTAACTTCTTTGTGCTTGGAATACCTGCATGACGTGCCATTTCCACAAATTTGTGCTCCCTTTTAGGCGATGCCATCCTATAGGAAATAGTTTGACGAATTTTGGATATTGCTACTCTAATAACCGATAAGTCATCCTGAACAGCTAAATTGAGAATATGCGCACAACAACGCATATGAAAAAATTCGCCATGTAACATAAGGGTGGAACGTTGAAGCTCTCCTAAGATATCCTGGACAATCGCATCATTGGTGGAGCAATGTTCAACCGTCAATGTGGACAGCTTCGAATCAATATTCCACTCACAAAAACAGTCCATCAATGCCTCAAAAAGCACATCTCTAGTATGTGGGCAACGCAAATGTACAAACCTACAATATAAAATTGTAGATAATTAATATTTTAATTTATCTTAAAAATTTACAAAGAAATAAGAATAATGAAACATAAAAATTAAAAACATAATACCTTGAAAGTAGATTATGCAAGACCCAATTATCATCGATAAATTGCGCTATGATGGTCATATATGCTTTGTTCTGGTTGCTAGCAGTCCACAAATCAGTAGTGATGGCAACTCTACTCCGATTCTTGCTCAACATTTTCATAGACTTCTCCTTCTAAACCTCATACATATTCATAATATCCCTTTTAATAATTCTCCTAGAGACAACATTGAAGGAAAGGGAAATAGTGTTGTGGAATTTTTTAAACCCCATATCGTCAACCATGCTCAACGGATACTCATGAAGAATAATCATATTTGCAAGATCATATCTCCCCACTTGTTGATCTAAATGGTAATTGCTTAATGTCTTTTTGGGGTCTTGTTTTTGCATCCCTGCAAGCATCATTTGTGATACATCTTGATTCTTTCGCCTTGCACAAATTTTATAATGATCATGCAAATGTCTTGTTCTGTTTTTAGAACCACCGACGAGCTGTCGGTGATAGTAGTTACACTCTGCCTTTTCCTTTCCATCAACTAAGACTTTTTTGAAATGTTGTCATACAATTGACCTAAACCTTCTAGTTCTAGTAACACAAGTATCCTCTTGGGGAAACAGGGGAGGGGTTGAATCAGGGGTATCGATCGTGATTGGTAGGCTAGTTCCCAACTGGAGATTGTTCTTGGTCATTTCCATCGGATTCGGGTGGAATATTCATGTGGGAACTCGCAATAGATACTTTTTTGGATGCCTCAGAAGATCGGCTGATATCCTCTTCTAAACCCCTTTTTTTGGTCGATGTTGACATGGTGTAATGTAACCTATTAATAACCTACCACAAAAGAATAAAGATGTTAAAAAATAACCTATTAATAATCTGCAATAGATGCAAACTGCAAGTTGCATTTGCAAACTGCACTGTAGTTTGCAAATGTAAACAACAGTTGGAACCTATTGCAGATGCAAACTATAGTGCAAATTGCAATGCAGTTTGCACAAGCAAACTGCATAACAGGTGCAAACAAAATCAATACTATAGTTTGCACAAGCAAACTGCACAACAAGTGCAAACATAACTCACACAAAGACAAGCTCGAATCGAATCATAACTCAATCAATCTAAACCCTTAAACCCCACATAAAATCTTCAATCACACAAACCAATCTAAACCTTTAAACCCCACATAAAATCTTCAATCACACGAACCGATCTAAACCCTTGAACCCCACATAAAATCTTCAAGCATAACTCAATCATAACTCAAACAATCAATCTAAACGGCAAATACAAAAGCAAGCTTGGATCATAACTTAATCAATGTAAACCCTTAAACCCCACGTAAAATCTTCAATCATACGAACCAAAACTTATAAAAGACCCAAACTTTAAAAGAAAACAAACCTCTTTTTCTTGAATCTTGACACAAAGGGCATGGAGAAAGACCTTGTTTGCGTTGGTTTTACATAGTTGATTAATAAAAGAACTACAAAAACAGACAAAACAAGAAGTGGGTTAAGCCTTTCAGTTGAAAAAACACTATTTCAATTAAACACAACCAAATATTGAAGTTCCAAAAAAGATTAGATGAAAATTTTCATCAATCATTATAAAGAACACGCAATGCAACTGATGAAAGCAATAAACATCCAAGAATTTCTAGGTAAAGAAAAGAGAATTGAATGGGTAGAATTTAAGACATACCGATGAATTGTGGAGGTTGGAATCGGCGAAGAGGCGATGATATTCCGGTGAAGGTTTGACGATATATAGGCGGTAGCATTTTAACTGGATAAGAGATTTAGGGTTTCAAACTTTGAATTGTGCTTCATGAGTTGAGTTGAGTTGTGTACTTGGGCATAATTTGTAGAAGTGTTTGGTTTCGGGTACCCTGCATCTTTTGAAGGAACTAGAACTAGAACCGAAGATTCCTTGAAATTTGAAACCGGAACCGATGGTCCTGGGTACCCAAAACCAGAACCTGTAATAACAATTCCAGGTACCTTGTAAAATTACAATTAGCCCCTAAAAGTTTTTACTCACATTACTTTAATGTATTCACATTACATGTGATTTGAGAAGCGAAAGAAGAAATTGCAGAGAAAAGTAGTTAGACAATTTGAAGAAAAGTTTTGGGGATTTCATTAATTGCTTTCTGGTTTCTACAGTGCACCCAGTTGTTCTTGTATTTTAGTTACAACTAAAACCTAGTCTTGATCTCAATATCCTTCCTTAAACTAAAACAACTTCTTTATTAAACACTTCAACTGCTCACATTTTACAGTGTCCATAGTAACCTCCCAACAAATCGAACAAAACATTACAAAATAACATTATAAGAACAAAACTATCATCATCATCACTTAATCAATTCAACAACTCAGCATCAAGACTAGCACCATCATTACTTTATCAATTCAACAACTCAACATCTCACTATTCAACAATTTAACACCTCAGTATTAGCAAGATTATCATCATCACCATTTATCATCACAACAACTCATAACACTTCAATATCAGCAGGATTACCATCATCACCATTTATCATCACAACAACTCAGAATACTTCAGCCGGATTATCATAATCACCTTTTATCATCACACCAACTCAGCATCATGTAATTCTCACTTCTCATCCATACAACAACTCAATTTTTAGCATTCCAGAACAAAAAAAAAAAAAAAAAATCCAGATACAAAAACGAAAAAGAAAGAAGCTTATATTTTTAGCCAAACCCAAAACAAAACCCACATAGCATTTGGAGGAAAAAGCAAAAGGACTTTACCTTATGCTGCAAGTGTTGTGCTTGAGAGATCGTGCAAGCAACTGTCGGTGAGATATTGTTTTTCTTGCAAATTATTTTGTGCTGAAAAAGAGAGTGAGGAAAAAACGTTTGAGAAGAGTGTTGGGATGGATTGGGACTGAAGAAAGAATAAGATGGAGTGAAGAAATTGGTACTAGAAGAAGATTGACTGAAGAGTGAGGAAAAAATGTTTTTTTACCCACTCTTTAATTTTATTTTATATTAGTCTTGATTCCCGGTTCCGATTTCAAAAATTTAGAACCGGAATCTACCTATTAACGACTGATTTCAGGTAGGAACTGAAACCAAACCCTGAGTACCCGTCGATTCCCGTTCCGATCAATTCTTTTGAACACCCCTAATAATTTGTGTTTATGAATGAAGGGCAAAACCGTTATTATAAAATTGTAACAAGGGCAAATGGGTATTACGTAATGGAATCGAAAATTTAAAATAATGATTAAATTATTTAATTTAAATGACGGACAAGGTCCACAAGAACTTTATTTATAATGATTAATAAAAATTATAATGATTTATGAATTTATTATAATGAATCAAAATATCAAAATGATAATTATGATACATTATACATACATATTAATAGATAATATTATGTATTATTGTATTAAGTAATAAGTATTAACATATGATATTATGATTGCGGATAATAACATATTATCTATAATATATAATATATTATAATAAATTATACCATATATATTATAATGTCTCAATAATATTCTTTTGCACATGGACTGATATGGATAACCCAAGCCTGGTGCGGATATTCAACGCACTTGGTGGTTTAGAATTTGGTCACATTTAGAGTCTAGGGATACAATGTTACTACCATTCATGCGGCATGCCTTGCTTTTTTAGACTCTTTTTAGTTTTGATTACAACGTCCAACGTCATTTGCCATATCTCTCGTTAATAAAACTTTAATTGATACGAACCTATTATTTATATAAATATATGTATGATGATTTAATATACATGAACATGATAAAACCCTTAGCTCTAAGAATAACAATAAGATATTAAATTTATAACTCATTGTAGGCGTATGTGTTAACGTGTGTTTGGCCCATTGCAGTTCATGGCTGGCTAGTATTCAACTCACCCAAATTTAGAACGTGCTATGCACAAATTGCCATTCTTCAGAAAAAAGGGTCAACGGTCAGACCCCTCCAAACAGATATACACACATAACATAACAAACTCCCTCCAAACCAAATATTCTACCCTACATTCCCTCCACTTCACCAAACGACCATTTCAACCCACAATTAAAACTAAAAAAAAAATCTTAACAATTAAACACCTCAAATTAATTGATTAAAAAACTAACACTAGCAAAAATAATAATTTTATTATTAAATTAAATTAACACGGATAATTCTCCTCTCTAAACGCATCTCTTTTCATTTCTTCTCTTCAATCTCTCTATCATTCCTAAACCCAAATTTTTCATTTTCATTTCATTTTTTCTGTCAAGCCATACACAACCATGGACGAAGAGAAAAACAACCCTGATAAGTCTTCAACCGTTTCTCCTAAGGCCGGTGAAGCCACCAATACGGAGTCGCCCAAGGTCGAGACAAAGCCAAATGAAATCGAAACTGCAGAGGGGAAGACACCAAAAAAGGAGGGTGATCAGCTCGGAGAGATCGAAGAGACCAAAGAAGTACATGAAGAAGCTCCTCCTCCTGAGATCCAATATACTCTTGAAACAGCTTCGGAAGAAATCGATAAGTTTCTCTCAACATTACCTGCAAAAACTGATGATGAGAATAATAAAGCCTCGCCGGAGATCCCGGAGACGGTTATTGGGAAATTCTTGGATCTTTTTGAGGAGCAACTCACCAAGCATGACTCAACAGTCGAAGGAAAAGTGAAAGGGTCTCAGGTTCCTGAAGATGATACGTTGATTTTGAACGCTGTGGATCGAGTTTCGAAGCTGGCAACGTCCATTGGTGAGCTGAAATCGGATGCTGACAAAAAACAATGCGTTTTGATCAACCGAATCGGTGCGATTAAACAGCGTGCAATGTGTTTCTTGGAGGATGAATTCAGGTTGATTCTTGAACACATTCCTGATTCATCAGATCCAAAAACTGAAACAAAAGATGCTGAAGAATCCGCTCCCACTGAGGATTATTCCACAAATTATTCCGGATATACTCCGGAAATGTTGTCCAGCTTGAATAAAATCGCCCATGAAATGATCTCGGCAGGGTATGAATCTGAATGTGTCGAGATTTACATGATATCAAGAAGGATCACGTTTGATGATAACTTGAACCACACAGGTTTTGAGAAGTTCAGCATCGATGAAGTACAGAAGATGAGTTGGGAACACCTAGAGAGAGAAATCGCCACGTGGATCTCTACCTTCTCGGAATGTGCCACGCTGTACTTCCCCGGAGAGAAAAAGCTGGCTGAGTCGGTTTTTACGGACTATCCCATGGTCTCGTCAAGCCTGTTCAGCAATCTTACACGTGGCGTGATGATTCAGTTACTTAATTTCGCCGAAGCTATGGCAATGACCAAACGCTCGGCGGAAAAATTGTTTAAGGTTCTTGACATGTATGAGACTCTACGTGATAATATGGCAGCTTTGCAAGAACTGTATCCCGGTGAATGTTCGAACGAGGTCAAGACGGAGACGGCAACTGCTAAAATGAGGCTTGGAGAGGCGGCAATTTGCATGTTTTGTGATCTTGAGAATTCGATCAAATCCGATACAGGGAAGATGACCGTGCCCGGTGGTGCTGTCCATCCTTTGACTCGCTACACTATGAATTATTTGAAGTATGCTTGTGAGTATAAGAACACGTTAGAGCAAGTTTTCAAAGAGCATTGTAAGATTGAAAGAAACGACTCGAGAAGAAGAACAGATTTTGAAGTGGGCGAAGTGGATCAGTATAATAGAAACAATAATAATAACAGTAACAGCAATAACCATGAAGAACATCAGCCGTCCCCGTTTTCGAATCAATTAGTGAGAGTGATGGATTTGTTGGACACCAATCTGGAGGGGAAATCGAAGCTGTACAGGGACATATCATTGAGCAGCATTTTCATGATGAACAACGGACGCTACATCTTGCAGAAGATAAAAGGGTCAACGGAGATCCACGATGCGATGGGGGACACGTGGTGCCGCAAGAAGTCGTCCGATCTAAGGAACTACCACAAGAATTACCAGAGGGAGACCTGGGGGAGGCTTTTGGGTTGTTTAACACTTGAAGGATTGATGGAAAAAGGGAAGGTGGTGAAGCCGGTGCTAAAAGAGAGGTTCAAGAGCTTCAACGCAATGTTCGATGAAATTCACAGGACTCAGACGTCGTGGGTCGTCAGCGATGACCAGCTTCAGTCAGAGCTCAGGGTTTCAATATCGGCAGTTGTTATCCCTGCTTACAGATCATTTGTAGGAAGATTCTCACAGTACCTGGATCCAGGAAGGCAATCGGAGAAATATATCAAGCTTCAGCCTGAAGATATAGAGACTTACATTGAGGAGTTGTTTGATGGGAAGAGGAAACCATAATTTCACCGTATTTATTTATTTATATATATGCATGCACACGCCCTGAACACAAAACAAAACTACAAGCCCTAGAAATCATGATGGGGAAGAAGAGAACTATTTCTATTTTTGAAGCCACAGAGAATTGGTGATCCGCGAAGCTGCAATATATATGGTCATTGCGTCATGTGTAGAAGCAAGAAGCTAAACTGGATTAGAAAATATATTTTTGTTTTTGGTATCTAATTGCAGTACTTCATGGGAGTCGATTCAAATTGACTTGGAGAAAGTAGCTAGCCATTTTTTGAAATTGTTTTTCTTGTATTTGTTTTTGTTTTATTTGTTCTTGCATTTTAATTTATGAAATGAACAACATGATGATGATGATGATGATGATGATGATGATAATTGTTAGTAAGTAACTCGCCGTGTGATTTTGCTTAGCTTCTTTTCTTTAATTTAATTAATTAATTAATTAATAGGTATATGCATATCTACAACATGACTAGGCTGCTGAAATTAAAGAATGGATTAAAAAGTAATTATTTATTTAATAAATAAATAAAAAAACTACATTTAAAAGTAGGCTATAAGATGATTTTTTTAACTCAACTACAAAAATACCTTAATAATAACCTAATGAGTTTATTCATTTACAGTTGTAAAATCAGTTAATCTACTTAAAGATTATGAGAAAGTATTCTAGAATTATTAGAAAAATAATAAAAAGAACTTATATACGCGAATATATAAAAAAGCGATGCTATTGCCCCCTACCTGTTATCTGAGTTGACCTTAATTACTATTTTCTTCTTAATTATACTTTTATTCTTAATAGAAATTACTAAATTAGATGCAAAAGTATTTTATACACAATCTAGCTAGTAGGGGTGAGCACGGGTAGCGGATAGAATCGGAACTAGAGTCGAAACCCACCTAGAATCAATACTATGCGGATAAGTTCCAGTTCTATTTTTTTGGAATCGATATTGTGCGGTGACAGGCTTTTCGCAAGTATACGAAATCGTGCAAGTAAGAAAGCTCGAGTAAATGAGTGTCGAATCCTAGAGGAACTACCTACCAAGTATCAAACTAGTCTATTCTATTGCTATTTGATAAAACAGAATTTTAAGAATAACTTTAATGAAAAAATAATAAACTAAAAACTAAATAAATGCAGAATTTGTAAACACTTAGAAGTCAAGATCAAAATAACTAAACCTAGGGCACAGATTTCATACCAATTTAATCATATGCATTGACAGTTATTGCTAACCTAATTAAACATATTCTAAAAGCCAAATTCCCTAAAATTCCACTAACTTTTTCTCGAACAATTAGCAAATTAACCCTTAAGCAACAACCCAAGATATCTCTAAGTTTGATTTAGAAGCTAAGAGATCATTAAGTTCTATGGAATTTACCATAAGTACTTCACAGACTGCGGTAACCTATCTCTAGCGTTCGCTCAATCTATGGTTTTATTACCTTAGTCAAATTAGGTTTCATCTCTCGATCTCAACTTAACCCATAATATCAATCAACTCTCAAGCCCTTAAGAATTGAAAGCATTATGCACAATAATAAAACTTAGAATTAAAAGCTCAATAGGAATTAACAACAATTTAAGTCAATACATATTCATAAATTGGGCTACATCTTAGCTCTAGAAAAGAGAATTAGTTCATAATAAACATGAAAGAAACAATCATATTTATTGAAACATTCATCATGAGTTTACAAGAAAAGAATAAGGAAAACTTCTCTATATTGTGAATCAAAGCTCCAGAATTTCTGTTACTTCTCTTCTCTCCAGATTTTTCTCCATTTCTTCTCACCAAAAGATCCCCAAAATAATGCTAAAAGACTTCTATTTATATCTCACAAGGTTTAGGGTTTGTTTTTCCTTAATTCTATTTGATTTTGAACCCTTAACCCTATTCTCCTGGCTAAAAACGGACAACAAACTAGTGACTTACGTGACTGTGCCGCGGCACTGTGCTACGGCATAGTAGCTACTAGAAAAGTGTGCCACGGCACAATAGCTGCTGCCTTTTTCCTGCATCATTTCACTGTTCTTCAACGATATTGATTTTTGAACTCGATAACGATGAAATTTGAAAAATTTGTAAACATATGAAATGTATCCCTTTAAATCAGCTTTCCAACGGTTTAAGAATTGTCTTAATCCGAGTTCTATAGCTCAAGCTATTGTCAAAATACCAAGACATGCGTAAGCTGGAACGTAATCTAGAATCTTCTCTTTACTTCAACTTCCATAACTTCTTCAATTCAACTCCGATTCCTGATCCGTCTGTGTCCACTCGTCACTCATTCCGTTGCAAACATGATTCTTCATCCGAGCATAACATTTAAGCACTAGTGACCTGAAAAACACTCAAAAACACCTGTGATCCCGTAAAAGACAATTATGAAAATATTAAGCAATTTTACCAAATTAAGCATAATTTCCCACAATTAATCCCCCAAAAACCACTAACTAAATGTGTATTTTCAAGCTTTTATCATGCGGTTCTGGTTCCGGTTCCTACATGTGGAGGAACTGGAACCTGAAAAAAAGAACCTGCAGCGAGTACCCTACTTGGCACCTGCAGCGGGTACCCTGTTTTGGAACCTAGGCTGAAATAAAATATCTGAAGAATGGGGGGTCTATTATAATTTTACATATAAAAAATATTAAAATGGGAAAAGTTAAATTTTTACCATAACCTAATTAAATAAATATACAATTATACTTATTACATATAAACTATACCATATAAAAAACTTTAATATATTATAATATAGTGATATTAAAGTTTTGATTAATTAAGTGTATAATTGGAATTAAAACTAATTAAAAGTATTTTAATGTTATTAAAATAATTATTTTTTAATATAATAGTATATTTGATTGAATAATAATATAATATTTAGTTATTTACTTCAATTATCAAGTTCTAAATATATCTGTAATAAATTAGTAATTAATTAATTATAAAAAAATAAATTGATAAACATTAATACATTACTAGTTAAAAGATTACTTAATCAATTATAACATTACATTATAGTTAAACGATTACTTAATTAATTATAACATTTCATTATAAACATTAGTACAATACTTAATTAAACGATTAAAAATTTAATTAATTATAATATTACATTAAAGATTTGTAGTATGATTACTTAATTCATTATAACATCACGTTATAGTATGATCACATAATTAATTATAAAATAACATGATGAAATAATTACTTAACTAATGATGATATTATATTATAAACATTAGTAATCTACTATATTAGTACAATACTTAATTAAATGATTAAAAATTTAATTAATTATAACATTATATTATAAATTTATAGTATGATTACTTAATTAATTATAACATTACTTTATAAACAAATGATTACTTAATTAACTATAACATTCCATTACAAACATGAGTATAATACTTAATTAAATTATTAGAAATTTAATTCATTATAATATTATATTAAAGATTTATAGTATGATTACTTAATTCATTATAACATTACATTATAGTATGATTACATAATTAATTATAACATGACATAATGAAATGATTATTTAATTAATTATGATGTTATATTATAAATATTAGTAATTTACTACATTAGCGCAATACCTAATTAAATGATTAGAAATTTAATTAATTATAGCATTACATTATAAATTTATAGTATGATTACTTAATTAATTATAAACATTAGTATAATACTTAATTAAATAATTAGAAATTTAATTAATTAAAACATTATATTATAATTAAATAATTACTTAATTAATAATAACATTACATTATATTATAATCCCTTAATTAATTATAATATTACATAGTTAAATGATTACTTAATTAATTATAAATTTATAACATTATATTATAAATATTAGTAATTTACTACATTAATACATTACTTAATTAAATGATTAAAAATTTAATTAATTATAACATTACATTATAGATTTATAGTATAATTACTTAATTAATTATAATATTCCATTATAAACATTAGTACAATACTTAATTAAATGATTAGAAATTTAATTAATTATAATATTAAATAATAGATTTATAGTATGATTGTTTAATAAATTATTAGTATTTGGGTTTTGATTGAGGAATTTTATGTGAATTGTGATGAATCGACTCAATTCAAGTGTTGTCTAGAGATTGGAGGATTTATGAGTCACATTGGACACAAATGAATGAGTAATCAAAATTTGCTAGGGGTGTATTTGTAAACTTTTCAGGTATTTTTGTTATTTTTTAAACTAATAGGGGGTAAATGATTTCTTACAGGGTACCCGAGAAAGGAACCGAAACTTGCATTTTAGATTTCGGTTCCTTGAATTTAAGAACAAGCGCTGTGCGGTTCTGGTTCCGATTCTTTTTTTTTTGGAACCTGCACTGTGCGGTTCCGGTTCTAGTTTTCTTGAAAAATGCAGGGTACCTGGAACTGCTCACCCCTACTAGCTAGAATAATTTTTTTGTTATTAATTTACAATTTCTATTTCTTTTTCTTTATCAAAAAATGTACATTTGAACATTAATTATTATGGGTTTGGAAAGGATATTTATCTAATAATAGATCTTATGTTAATCTTATATCTTTGTGAGCTTTAAATAAACAAATCAACAATTTTAGCTATCAAAGATTGAAAAAAATATGAAATTTAATAAAATAAAATAATTGGAATCGTAAATTAATTAGTTAAAACAAAGAAAAATAAAATAAGTATAAAAATTTGAGATTATTTAAACAATTTAAAAGGTGTCATTATTTAACACAAAAACGACGTCGTTTACAGAGATAAACTTTCGACCATTAGCTAGATTCTGTCTGTCTCCGTCCGACCTGAGCGGACGTGTCATTCATGACGAAATCCGTTACACAAAGGGCAATATTGGAACTAAAAATATCTCACGTTCTCAACACCGTACCGTAATCCAAGACAAGAACAGAAAGCTAACCCAAACAACTCTGTACTTCTCTCTTCTCTCTCGCCTGCCTTTCGAACACAACACAAACTCATTAGAAACACTTCATTTCGGACTCCGATTCTCACAACTCCTGTTCCTACAGTTACCCAAACTCCACCTAACAAATTCCAACGCTGCCCCTTGAAACCCTCTCCAAAAATCCCTAATTCCCTCCATATCCTCCCCCATGGTGAACGAATTAGAGCGGCTTCGTCTCACGGGCCGGTGATTCTCGCGTGCCTAACCCGCATTCCTTTTCTTTGTTGGTTTATTCTCCAACTTATCTTAACTGTTTACTTTAGTTTTTTCGTTGAATAACATTGTTTGGCCTTTGATGTAGATTTCATGCTCTTAATTCACTTAGGGAAAGCCCGTTTTGGTTTTTTGGTTGTTTTTGTGTTTGTAGTTGTTTAATTGTTGGTGTTGCATGTTATTTTGTTTCTTTATGACTTGTTTTCCAGTAGCATTCACTGTTAAGTGCTTAGTTTTATGAATATTTTGTTTGTTGTAATCATAATTTCTAGGGTTTAGAAAAAGATTACCGTTAGTTGTAACTGTTGTGATAATCTTCTTAGATGGTTAATTAGCTATTTGAAGTTTTCGCATTATTAAGATGATATGTTAAGAACTATTCAGTATTCGGACACATGTATAACTTAATTTTTAGCTGGAAATTTTGAGAAATTAGATGACCAAGTGTTTCATTTTTAAAGAAAGAACTTGTCTTTTTTAACAATTAATTCGTTTTGGACTGACATTTGATCGCCAGAGTAATGGTGGACAAAATAAAGTTTTAAGTTCTTCCCACAGTTGTTTTAAATCTTTGAGGGATTATCTCGTCTGCCACGTATCAATTCACATACTTATGTGAACGATTTTGTGTTGAATGTGCATAATGTTGACACATGTTTTGATTTAGTCATTAAAGTTTTCCCAACGCGACAAGCATCATCTCTTATCGCGGGAGACTCTTTTTTGGAAAAGGACAAGTGTCAGACCCTTCTTTATAATCATTCTCATTCTCATTGTTAAACTCATTTAACTTAGATTCTTTATCTTGGCCAAGGACAACACTTTTAACTTGTGGTTTTCCAGTTGCCGTAGTTATAAAGGCTTGAAGTTTTATTTTATCCTCATATTAAATTGCTTAAATCAAAAGGAGGCCTAGATAGGTTAAATGAACGTTACCTTGCTGAGTAATTTAGTTTCCTATGTGGCATTTCACTTTTTGGTTGATGATAGGATACATTTTGCCTTTTAAGTATTTAGGTGATGTATGTTTTAACCTAGCATATATATTGATTAACACTCAGTGTCTTCCGAAGTGCTTCTCACTTTTCAAATGTTTTATATGTGACAAATGATTTCTCAGTAGAAGTGCCTCATAATTATTTGAACATCTATAGTGAGCATATTGTTATTAGTGTGGTGATTGTTGAATTTGTTGAACATTGACAATCCTTAATTCTAAATTTTGTGTTATGAATTTTCATTACCTTAATGTTGACACTTAAGTTCCTTTCTTATAATGGAAAATGTGAAGTTCTTATCTTATCACTGTGGAATTATGAGGATACTTTCATATTAACATAATTGTACTTGTTCATCTTCTAAAGGTACTTATTTTTTTCCTTGCATTTATCTTCTCTTTTGAAGGTTTGTTCACTTCTAAAGATCGGTTTTTGCTCCATTAATTTGATATTACGCTATCAAGAACATGGGAAGTACATTTAATCCTCAGATTTTAGTGGAAAAGCTAGCCAAGCTTAACAACTCACAGACGAGCATAGAGAGTATCCTCTTGATTTGGACTATGGATGGTTTTCCTTTATCCTGTTGTTGTTTGTGTTCGTATATTTTTGGGACAATCAGGCTGTCTGCTTTTTTGTGTATAGTGGGATCAGCATTATGTTTTTAGAGTTTGATTTGTTATAAATTCAGGTGTAGCCACATTACATCTTGTTAGGGTCTTTAAATGTATAATTATCTTAGCTTGTTTTCTTAATCCACTCTCAAATTTCTTCTTTTGTTAAGTCTGATATTTTTTTTTTTCCTAACTTTTTCAAAATCAAAATTTAATTGCTTTGCTTTCAGTTTGAAGACTGTTTTCACTGGATTCTCATTTAGCTGCTTCAGTACCTTTTTCTTTCCCAGTATATTTTTTAAGACAAGCCACCAATGTAAACATTAAGTTGAACATAAGTTTTCTATGTATTTTTTTTTTCTTCAACAATTTTTATAACCAATTGATTGTTTCTATCCTTAACGTGATTCAGCTTTATCACATTGGTGTATTTTTCATATGAATAAGGCCAAGCAAGTTGTAGAAACATGGGACAGACAATTTCATTGCTCTCCACGTGAGCAGAGATTGGCTTTTCTGTATCTTGCAAATGACATCTTGCAGAATAGTAGAAGAAAAGGTTCTGAGTTTGTTGGTGAATTTTGGAAGGTTCTTCCAGATGCTCTTCGTGATGTGATGGATAATGGAGACGAGTTTGGAAGAAATGCTGCACGACGGCTGGTATATTCATCTTGACATTGCATTTTCTACTTATTTAGTCAAATTTGATGTATTGCTATGAGTCTTATATCCTGTTTTCATGTTGATAAATATCTTTGAAATATCTAATATTTCTGTTAGAAGGAAACCTAGATCCAAAAAGATGATAGTTTATGTATTTGGGAAGCAAAGCTTCGAGGATCTGAATGGAAATGACTTTTTGAATCCTTATGAATCCTTGCAAGTATGTATTTGGAAAGTTTAAGGGATTTCCCTCATACTTAATGGGTTAGTGGGAAGACTAAGGAAAAGAGCATTAAACCAACTTTCATGGTCTCTTCCATTCTATCTGGAATATCACCAACTACCAGTTTGTGGTATACAAGAGACATACTAAAAAAATAAAGGAAAAGGATATGGATTTGGAGACTGTTACCTAAACTTCAAAATATCAAGGAATTCCTGAAAGGACCCCAAATATTTGAAAGCAGTGGCATGAACCAGGTTCATTCTCATAAGAATAAATTCCTCAGACTCTTGCCTTCAAATCTCTAACTAAACGTCAATCTCTTTAAGCAGTCCTCATACACTAAATATTTTAGAACAAACATAAAGACGTCATTGATAATATTCTGGTAGAGAGAAACAGGGTTGCGCCTGTTGTTTTATGTTTTTCTCTTTCTGTGTGTTTTGCTGCATTGGTTAACCTATTATTTTCTATGCTTCTTGATTTTTCCCCCCCTTTTGTGGAAATCACCGTCATAGCACCGCTGAAATTACACACTGATGTGACCTGGGAGAAGGAGAGTGCGGGCTGCAAATATTCATTCATTGATATTCTGGGGGAATCTTCATGTTAAACAATTAGATCATGGTCCATTAATCTTATATTAAACTTAGTTTGCTAAAAGAACTGCTAGGACAAATGCAATTGTCTTGCCATCTTTGGTCTTTCATATGCTTGCATGGCACTTATATGCATATGGTTTTTACTAGCTTGGTATCAGAGTCAATTCCTTCGATTGGTTATGTTGGACATTAGCATGACGGTTTATGTTTCTTCCATCTATATGTGCAGATTAATATTTGGGAGGAGAGGAAAGTTTTTGGTTCTCGAGGGCAAATTCTGAAGGAAGAGCTTGTGGGAAGGCACCTGGAAAGTTACAACAGAAATGGGAAGCATCAGGGCATGAAATTGGTAATCCATGTCTTCTTTTATATATATATATATATATATATATATATTTGGTTTAGAATTATAAGTTAATACCATCTCTCATCTTCTTTCTTTTAAGCAGAAGCAGCCTATTGGAAATACAGTGGACAAAATAGTCTCAGGTTATCAAGTTGTCTATGGTGGCCAGATTGATGAAGACGTTGTATTGAACAAATGTAGGAATGCTATTAGCTCTATTGAGAAAGTAGAGAAGGAAATTGGTAGTGACATCCATTCTGGTATTACCCGCATTGCCTTCTTTAGACAGCCGCTATAAATACGTTTGTTAATGTTTGACTATATAATCTGTTTATGGAATGAACAATATTCAGTTATTGTGTCTTACTGCATAGGCTATGCATTTGTGTTGTATAAGAACCAAGCATATATTGTGAAGTGGCATTTCTAGGCTTAGAAATATGGATGTTACTCTTTAGTCAAGTCAAAGTTTGTTGAGGCCACTTTTTTGCTGTCGCCATATTTCCATCTATAATACAGGAAGTCTTTGTTCTGAAAGATGGAAATAGAGGTTTGGAGTCTTGACAGCCCAGTTACAGTGTCTTATTGCATAGTTGCATTTGTATTATGATATGAACCAAGCATGCCATTGTTAAGTGGCATTTTTTATTTTTTGA